ATACGGTGATTGGAGGTCTGAGGTATCACATGTAGGCCAGCCCGTTAAGGATGACAGACTTTCTTCCCAAAAAGATGAACCTAATGAGATTTTACAACAATTGGTGATGAATACATGGTCACCATTAGGCTGGTTTTAGAATTACAGATTTTTTTCAAAATCAAATTTCACCATTTGCCACAGTGGGATTCGAGCCTGGGTCCCTGGATTACTAATCCAATTACATTACCACTGCCGGCTCTATTCTGCAAACTACCATAGGTTAAGGGGAGCTAGGCCATAAATTGGCCAAATATCCATGAACAGAATCACAAAATTATTATGCTTCATTGTGTCTGCACAAACTCTCCAAATGAGCAACATGACTTGGTGCCATTTTCCTGCCTTTTCCCTGTAACCCTGCAGATTCTCCAGCCTTTACCCAGTGATCCTGCAGATTATTTCTTTCAAATACTTGTCTAACGCCTTTTTCAGTGTCTCAACTGAACCTACCTCCTCCCACTCCCAGACAGTGCAATCCAGACCCTAACTTCTTGTTGCATTTCTCACATCACCTTTACTCCTTTAAATCTACATTCACTTATTCTCAATCCTTTTAACAAGTGGGAACAGTTCTTACCAACAACTGTTTCCAGGGCCCTTATGATTTTGAAAACATCTATTAAGCCTCCTTTTAACCTTCGTCCTCCAAGCAAACAGTCCCAACTTCCCCAATCTATCTCTATAACTGAAGTTTTTCATCACTGGAACCATTTTTGTCAATGTTTTATCATGTGGTTTTATGCCACATGATGTGTTTGGTTCTTTACAGACTGATCAAGAAGAAAAATTCAAGTATTGTCCCCAGGCTTAAACTTCAAAGTAATTTTATTTATTATACATTAACACTAAATTATCTGTACATGGTAACTATTGAAATACCAGGCTCTGAATTGCAGTTACATTAGGTTATAACTAATCTATCTTTTTCATTTATGTCCACGTTCTGCTGTAAATCTTAGATCATTGCACAGGGAGTCCCCAATTTATGAACGTCTGATGACAAATGCTCATACTTATGAATGCTATTCCATACTTGGTTGTAATTTTAAAGACCAGACATATAAACACTTCCTGTACTTACAAACATAAATAACACAGTGTGGAGCTGGAGGAACACAGCAGGCCAGGCAGCATCAGAGGAGCAGGAAAGCTGACGTTTCGGGTCGGGACCCTTCTTCAGAAATCGGCAGTTCTTACTATCTCTGAATGAGTTATAACCCCGCTGATGCTGCCTGGTCTGCTGTGTTCCTCCAGCTCCACACTGTGTTATCTCTGACTCCACCATCAGCAGTTCTTACTATCTCTATACTTACAAACAGTTGCTTTTCATTGTCCCGCATTGCATTCCAACCTGCGTAAAATTGACTTACGAACGGACTCCAGATCAGAACCTGTAGTCTAGTTCTGTTTTTCCCGGCCGCGCAGTGTTTTCCAACTCCACCTACATTATGCTATTCATACTCAGTGATGCGACATCATGGCAAGTTTGTCCTAAAGCCCTTACACAATAGTCGACCTCTTCTTCACTTTTTACACCCTTTGTGAAGTGGTGAATTACTATCAAATTATGTTACTATTCTGAACCACACTGCCAACTATAAGTTACAATCAAATTAGGAACCAACAATCTTTTAATTAAAGTATCTAACATGTGAGACTCCATTTACACTTCTCGTTGCCATGGAAAGCGTGGCAACATCACCAAAGACCCCTCTCACTCTGGTAATACTCTCTTCCTACCTCTTCAGTCAGGCAGAAGATACAGAAGCTTGAACACACTGCATCAGCAGATTTAAGAACAGTTTCTCCCCTGCTGTTATCAGCCTGCTGAAATGACCTCTCTAATTTCAATCAAATGTTGATCTTGCCTTATGCACCTCCTGTAACCTTGTATGCTTCGGTCCATCTGAGCACCTTATGATCTGTATGTCCTTGTTTACTATGATCTGTCTGTACTGCTGGCAAAACAAAACTCTTCACTGTACTTAGGTACATGTGACAACAATAAATCAAATCAAATCAAACTTAATGATGAGCATACAGCCACAACTTTTCACTTTTCAACAAACAACAATAAACTTTACTACACAACGTTAAAACACAATGCATGTACAATGTATATTCTATCACCCAGAATTAGTGGCATTACCATTGCTGAATCCCCTACTATCAACATCCGGGGGTGCGGGGTGGGGGTTTACAACTGACAAGAAACAAAACTGGACTAACTACATAAACACAGTGACGATAACGGGTGGGGGGATGGGGGTAGGAATTTTACTGCAAATAATTCACTAGCCAACTCTCAGAGCTTGAGGGATCAAACACATTTCCCCAGAACATCAGGCCACTGACATTACCACTACATCACCAGCTCCCTCTCAGTGATATTATGAACAGGAATGGGCTTGGTTTGTTGACAAATCTTCTTTTAACTCTCTGCTTTTTTTTATTTTGACCACCTGACATCAAGTCCTGTGTGAGCCACTTCCTTCAACTGAGCACTCCATGGTTTACAAATCTCACACAAATTCTGCTACTTTGACATTAATAATTAGCCCCTCACCTCTAATCGTCTGCTCACTTTGAACAAGATTGTTCAAGCCTTGAGCAGAACTTCGACACCACTTTCCACTCGCCAATTCTTCTGTATCATCAGGATGTGATTATTTCCATTGTTACAGCACTGAGGTGCCACACTGATTTCCATATCATGTTACTGTCACCTCCTCCCATGACTTTTTTGCTAGTCATTCTGATCAGCCAAACTCCTTAAATTTCAACTTCTCCAAAATGCAGCTGGCTATGTCCTGAGGACTTACTCTTCCATCACTACACGTTATTCCTGACCAATAGTAATGTAGCCAATTCTTCACTGATCTCTGAAATGGCCCAGCGAGCCACTTAATTGTATTAAAACACTGACAGTCAGGATCAGCCAGTCAGCTTATGGCGATGGGATGGAGGGATTGCTGAGGACAGGCAACAGTGGGCCCAGTAAAGAGGACTTCCTCAAGGGGCTGCCATTAGTTACCAGAAACTACCACATTATGAGTGTAGGTGCTGGGTGGTTGAAGAGAAAACAGAAACAGGAAGTGTCTTACGGTTTAGATTTCAAAGTAACAATACTTGGTACACATTAATACTTAAAACTGCTGTACTTTATCAGAAATATACCATTGACTTACCGTTATATTAGGACCATAGGAACAGGAGTAGGCCATTCAGACCCTCAAGTCTGTTCAGCCATTCAATGAGACCATGGCTGATCTGTGGCCTAACTCCATATACCTGCCTTTGGTCCATATCCCCTAATCCCTTTGCTTAACAAAAGTTTACCTGTCTCAGATTTAAAATCCATTGCGATTTGTTGGAAGACAATTCTAAACATCTACCACCATTTATATATAGAAATGCTTCCTAAAGTCTATCCTGAATGGTCTGGCCCTAATTCTCAGACTGTGTCCCCTGGTTCTAGAATCCCAAACATTGGGAATAGTTTGTCTCTGTTTACCCTCTCTTTTCCTATTCATATCTCAGTAAGGAGTAATCTATCTTCTTGGAGTGCTCATGTCCATGCAATGTCTGTGCTTCTTCCAGAGAGTAGCACTGCAGTCCAGCGCACTGCAAGCGACTTCCAGAATGATCGAACTCTACTCATTTTGTCCATTTATACTCAGTAACATGTCACACCCTGACAGCTTTCTAATGTTGTTCCAGGGTCCTAATTCCCTTACCCAACAAATTCCTGCAAGATCAACAAAAATTCATTGCTGTCACAACAGTCTGAATACTTCACAAATGGCCAATCCAATCTCCTTGTATTGATGCCGCATTTTAATGGAGAATGATGGCTACTTTATAGGCTGGAGGAAGATTTGTAGTGGACTTCTTCAAAGGTTGGTATTAGAACTCGTACCTTTCCTGCAATTTCAAAGTTTGTGGATGACACAACTCTTAGGAGCATTGGACTGTGTAAAACCTCAAAAGGCCATTTGGTGGAGTGGGCCAATAGGTGGCAGATGGTGTTCAATGTCGAGGCATATTAGGTGATACATCTTTTAAAAAACAAATTGTTCATAGGTTGTGGGTCAACACTTATTGCCTATCTCTAATTGTCCAGAGGGCAGTTAAGAGTCAATCACATTGCTGTGGGTCTGGAGTCACATATAGGCTGGACCAGATAAGGATGGAAAATTTCCTTCTGTCAAGGAGATAAATGAAACTAATGGGTTTTTTTTTATGAAAATCAATGGTGATTACATGATTGTCATTATGCCAGCTCTTTCTTCCAAATTTTTAATTGAGTTCAAATTTCATCATCTGCCATGGTGGGATTTGAGTCCATCTCCCCACCTGAGGTTCTGGATTCATCTTCCAGTGACATGTGGAGAGACTGTACAAAGCAAAGGATACTATTCCAAAAGATGGGCAGGAACAGAGAGATCTGGGATTATTTATGCATAAGTCATTAAAGGTGGAAGGACAGGTGCAGAAAGCTGTTAATAAAGCATGGCGTATTCTAAGATAATTTTTAATCAACTTGTCTGGAAAGTTATAGCATACCTAGTACAGGAGCAAAGAGGAGATGGTGCACCTATATAAGACACTATCTTGATCTCAGCTAGAATATTGTGTAAAGCTCTGGGTGCCACACTTAATGATGGATGTGAATGGGTTGGGGAGACGTGAGGAAGAGATTTACAAGAATGTTTACAGCTGTGAGACACTTAGGACTCTTTTCCTTGGAGATGAGATTTCAATAGAATCATAGAAATCCTACAGTGTGGAAGCAGGCCATTTGACCCATTGAGTCCACAGTGACCCCCCGAACAGCATTCCACCCAGATCCACCCTCTACCCTATCCTATAACTCAACATTTCCCATGGAAAATCCACCTAGCCTGCACATTTTTGGACTGTGGGAGCAAACTGGAGCACCTGGAGGATACCGATGTAGATACGGGGAGAATGTGCAAACTCCATACGGTCACCTGAGTGTGGAATCAAATCTATGTCCCTGCTACTGTGAAGCAGCAGTACTAACCACTGAGCTACACTATTTGACAACATTCTTTGAAGTCATGAGAGGATAGAATAGTTGGGAGAAACCAGCTCTTAAAAGGATTGAAACCAGGCGCATTGATTTAGAATGTTTTGAAACTGATGCAACTGCGACGGTGAGGAAAAGCTTTTTAATCATATAGCAACTAATTAGGGAATAGAGTGCACTGCCTGGAGGTGTGGTGGAGGGAGGGTCAGTTGAAGCATTGAATAAGGCAATTGATGTTTCTATCTAAAGAATCACTGTACAGGATTACAGGGACAAGGCAGGAGGTTGGTTCTATGTCAAAATGCTGAGGGAGCCAGAGCAGATACGATGGAGTGAATGGCCTCATTTTGCACTGAATTCAGTAATTCTGTGAGGAATCTTCAATTCACCTCGATGTTCCTCAGATTGGGTCCAGGTTAAGAGTTATTTTTAATTCCTGCCCAGTCAGCAACCCTTCCAAACTGTGCAGAGAGGGAAAAGCTGTGAGCACAATACCCTTGAAGGAAGAATACCTAAAGAAAAAGAAACAGTAAAATCAGTGCATTAGCCCAATTCCCAATTATTACTGGTTTTAAAACTGTTGTTTCCCTATCACCCACACACCTATCTATAATCTATTTAAGTCACTAGCTTTCACAAGACCTCCAGAAAAAGCTAACAGATGGATTAGCTCTGATTTGACCACGTTGCTGTGAAGAACTTAGTGCACTTTCAAAACTAACTTTCTGAACTGAAGCGATAAGAAAACGAAACAGAAATCACAACCTTTTGAGATTTCCTGTGAAATCCGGTCTGTGTGTTTGTTTTATCTGTCTCTGACGCTACCATGGCTACAGAGGAGGAACAATCTCTCAAGTTTTTTTTTCTAACTCACTCAGGTCGAAGGGCTTTTGCAAATGAGTGGGCAGGGAGGGTTAAAGTTGGAAAGTCTTTGCCAGTACCGGGGGGGTGGGAGAGAGGAAATAGAAGTGGGTGGATGAAGAGCAGCTGAGCTGGCGTCTGGGCCGGTCTGTGCAAACGGGAGCCCATGCAAGCAGTGGGTGGGGTGTCAAGGAACAAGAGCTTCTGAAAAGGGAAAGAGAAAAGGGAGAGAAATTGATTCCTCGGCCGCTGGAGCAGAGAAACTTACTTTACTGTACACACTGGATATGTCGAAGTTTCTCACCAGCGGCAGCAGAGAGAGATACACACACACACGCAAGAGGAGGGACCTTGCTGCTGCTGTGGACGTGTGTGTGTGTTGCATTTGTTGCTCTGCAGTTTGTATGAAATTCACATGGAAGTGAAGGAAGAGAAAGACTTAACATTGCAGCAATCTGCCAGCACCACCAGTTTGAAGGGAGAGTGAGTGATTATGAAAGGGAGGAGGAGCACTGGATGTGTCCAGGAGCCTGTTGGAAATGTTCAGCCTGTCTCTCTAGGACAGTAGCAAAGATTTGGACTTTGATGTCTTGCTGTCTTTTAGTGCATGATATATATGGTGCTGGTGGGGTGGCTGAGGTGGGGCTCCAGGTGTATGGGTGCAGCTCAGCATGGCCCAGGACATAGCCCCGGCTAAAGGATGCAAGCAGCCCCGGAGCTCCGGCTCCAGGAGGGAGGGTAAGAGTCGCACTGTCCGCTCCAACCTGCTGCCCCTCGGCCCGAAAGGCAGCGACCAGCCCCGGAGGCTGCACGCCAGCAACCGCCTCAAGACCACCAAGTACACGCTGCTCTCCTTCCTGCCCAAGAACCTCTTTGAGCAGTTCCACCGCTTCGCCAATGTTTACTTCGTTTTCATCGCCCTCCTGAACTTCGTGCCCATCGTCGGTGCCTTCCAGCCCGAGCTGGCTCTGGCCCCTGTGGTCTTCATCTTGGCTGTCACTGCGTTGAAGGATCTGTGGGAGGATTACAGGAGGTACAGGTCTGACCAGGAGATCAACCACATGGACTGCCTCGTTTACTGCAGGTATTTGCAACGTTAATATTTTACACCACGTAGATATTTGCAATATTGGTACTTTATTGCAGGGATGTGTAATTATTGATACTTCTACACAATACAAATGTTTGCAATATTGGTACTTTAGTGCAGGGATGTGTAATAATTGATATTTTCACACCATGCAAATATTTGCAATATGGATACTTGACTGCAGGTATTTGCCACATCAGTACTTTTAGACAATACAAATATTTGCTATTTTTATGCTTTAGTCCAGATATGTTTAATATGAATACCTTTACAGCATGCAGATATTAGCAATATTGATAGTTAAGTGGAGGTATTTACAACACTAGTAATTTTACACAATTCAAATATTTGCAATATTCATTTTTGTACAGGTATGTGTAACTATTAATATTTTTAGAAGACACAAATATTTGCTATATTGCTATATTTTTAAAGAGTGCAGGTAATTGCAATATTAATACTTCAAATTTAAAAATCACAGTAATTTCAAAATTGATACACTGTAAAAGTCAGATATCCCAAAATTAAAAAATTAAAAAGTTATTAACATCAATTCTTTGAGTAATCCATCTCTTGTAACATATGGTCTGTTTCTCTCTCTTGAGTTCTCAGTCACCCTGAATCAGTGGAAGTGTGTTGTAGGTCACTCAGGAGGACTGAGTTCTTGTGGAAACATGCGCGTTAGCATGTAGATTGTAGTCTGGAGCTATGGAAAGTGAGCCGCTTGCATATTTTGATTAGAAATCTCTCACGCTGTTGCCACCTGCCATTGGCCTGTGTTGGAAGGACTTGCAGGTTGATGCTCGAATTGTTTTCGTTGGGTTAAGAATGCCCCTATCTTGACTGTCAGGTCTGAGATTGGACTTGAACCAAGGGCTTCTGTCTCAGAGGTGGATACATGACCAATTGCTTCACAAGACCTCCAATGTACCTCGTACATTTCTCCATTCTGAGGTTCGATACTGTTTACATTTGTACTAGCTTGCAAGTTGTGCATCAGGTAAAGTTTTCAATAGGTATTTAAGTGCTCATAGGGTTTGAGATGTTGCATTGGAATATCCTTAGCAAACTACGTATGTCTAGCACAGTGTTTCACAAATCTTTTACCCATTCAAAGCTTGAAGATTGTTAGGATCCCTCAATGTGTGGCTGGTAGGGTTGTAAGGAGAAGACCCATGAGAGCAGGGTGAGGATAATTGGGGGTGACCATTACTGCCTCGGAGCTCGTAACCCCACTCGAGATCCCGATCCCTGTTTTGGGAAACTCCGCTCTAGTGTTTAAAATGTAGCTTCTAAAATTTCATAAACAGATTTGCCAGCAATCTGAGCCTAGAGTCTGGATAAGTAACAGGCAATGGGCATCCTCCCTATTTTGTGTTGTCTTTGGGGTTATTTGTGTATTGGAACATGAATAACTTTCACAAATTGCAAGTGCTGGTTGCTTTTTGTATGCAGCTGCAATATATTATGAGGGACTAAACAGACTTTAATCATTCTTAATGGTTTGATTTAATGCCAGCGTGTTTTAAAGGTTGCTGTTTTTGTATAAATCACCACCCAAGGTTTACCTTAAGGATCACCTTGCGATACATTGTGCTTTGAAAACAGATCAGATACATACTTTGGGTTCTGTGATGAGCAGTAATTGGCCAGACTTCTATTGTCATATTTTCTCAATGCAAGAATGCAGATCTTTACTTCAGATGAACTTTGGGAAAGTCAGATCAACTTGTGGAAAAGTGTATTCTAGGATGTGATTTTATAGTTTTGCTGCAGAACTGTGGATGGCTGCCTAGAAACCTCTGTTTGTGAAATAGGGGGCAGAGCAATCTTGAAAATCATTTTTCTTTTAAATAAAAGCCTTATAATGAGTTTAATTGTGAATTGACAAAGCAGAAAAAAGTATATGTTGTCTGTGCAAAATTGTAAAATTAACAATCACCAGTGTATAATTTAGTAAAAGTATCCTTTTTAGTTTGTAATTTATTACAGTTACCAACCTAAAACTTGGCTGATCATTACAGACTCGACTCAGTCTGACTGGCTCCAAGGTGCAGCAACTAAGCTGTGTCCACATGCACTGTGTTTAATACACAAAGCTTCACTTCGCCAATCATATAAACTCTTAATAAAAAATAAAACAGCGGATGCTGGAATTCTGAAACAGTAACACAAGAATGCTGTAAAATTCTCAGCAGGTCTGGCAGCATCTGTGGTGAGAGAGAAACAGAGTTAATATTTCAGGTTTGTGACCTTACGTCGGAACACCAGATGGAACATTACAGATGTGAAACATTAACTCTTGTCTTTGTCTCCACAATTGCTGCCAGACCTGCTAAGTATTTCAACCACCCCTTTCTTTAAACATTTAACTTTAATATCAGGAAGGAGCGGGGACTTTCGCTTAACATCAAAAAATAAGCAGGAGACCTGGGTTCAAATCCCACCTGTTCCAGAGATCTGTTATAACTTCTCTGAACAAGTCGATTAAAAAATATTCGAAAATACCCTTTTGTACAAGATAGTTTATCCAGGTACTCCAGAAGACCTCCTTGGAGAAAATTTAGCAGTTCTTTGTTTTAATGCTTTTGAGTGTCAGTTCTCTTGCTTTAGATAGCAATGCACATCTTATGCTTCTTTCAGTTGACGTACAGGTGCTCTGGAATATTTGCAGATCAGAACGCTTCCATGCATTGCTAGCTTGCATTTGATATTGTTGGTGGGATGCACACTTTTTGGATCTATTGCACTGTTGGCGATCCACCTTTCCTGGACCCAGTTGAACTTCAAAAAAGTCTGTCTTGTTGCAGGAATGCACTGAAGCTAACTTGGATCAGATATTTTTGGTTGAACTGAAGCTATCTTGCTCTTCCATTCTCTGGGGTTGCATTAATTGTATTGTAAATTTTAATCGTTCCAGTTTTAATTGACAGTGGCACTAAACAGCGTATTGATGTGTGCATTTCTGGGAACGTTCCTGAGTTTGTGTTTGAGCACTGTTGCTACTCGGTGACTGCTCTGAAATGATTATTTGCCTAGTTGTTTAAGTCTGTTAAGTGTGTTGAATAGAGGCTGGACAGATGGTTTCTCAGTCTTGTTGCTAGTGTAAAAGGGTGAAACTTGAATGTTTATTTTTTTGCTGTACCTCATGCAGATGGTTTGCTTGCCACAACACCCTTACACATTAGTAAACTGTGACTGATTGAGGATAAGAATGATTGCTATTCTCAGTTAAATTTAAACTAGTCCAAGCTGCTCTTCCCAACTGAACCTACGATTTATCTGTTTTACATTTTGAAAGCTTTTTTTAATCATTCCTTTTACGGTGGGGCCTCAAGTCCTTTCTTTACAAATAGCTACTTTTCAAATAACAATTGCTTTACAAACAGGAAATTAGTAAGTTAACCTTAGTCTTTGGTCTGCATTCTGGCAACAAAAAAAAGCTATCTTTTCCCAGAAATAGGAGTGAGTCACAAGAATGGAATTAAAGTCAATCTGCTATATTTTAAGTGAATCAACAAATAGTGTAGGAATTGTTCTGTGATTCATAATCTTAAGCCACTATTCAGAAAGTAGTTTAGTTAAAAATTGAAAACAGTCCCATCCTGTTTTGAGATTGAATGGACAATCATATGATACTACAACTTGACAGTTACTTTGAGCCAGTAAAATGAATTGTTTCCACCCTGCTATCAATCTTCTTGGTTTTTGTCGAAGCAGACAACTACCCCTACAAGACGTTAGACCTGCCTTCTTCAGAGCGAACACACAGAAAGCAACCGTCCCTGATGGAGTCCCCGACCGTGCACTCAGAACCTGTGCAGACCAGCTGTTGGGAGTATTCACTGACATATTTAACCTCTCCTTACTATGATCTGAAGTCCCTATATGCTTCAACAACACCGCCATCATCCTGCTGCCAAAGAAAACTCATGCAATGTACCTCAGTGACTGTCGCCCTGTAGCTCTGACCTCCATAATTATGGAGTGTTTCGAGAGGTTTCCCACACCTACTCCAGCTTACCCAATTGCCTTGATCGTTTGTAATTCACCTACCAGTGCAATGGGTCCACAGCAGTTGCCATCTCCCTGGCCCTGCATTCATTTGGATAACAAGGATACCTACATCAGGCTCCTACTTATTGACTACAGCTCCACCTTCAGTACCATAATCCCAATCAAACTCATCTCTAAACTCCGAGACTTAGGACTCTACTCTCTACTCTGTAACTAGATCCTCGACTTCCTGACCCATAGACTGCAATCAGTAAGAATAAGCGACAACACCTCCTCCACCATAATTCTCATCACCAGTGCCCTGCAAGGCTGCGTGCTCAGCCCCCACTACACACCAATGACTGTGCGGCCAATTTCCGCCCCAACTCCATTCACAAATTTGCTCACGACACCGCTGTTGTAAGTCGGATCTCAAACAACGATGAGACAGAATACAGGAAAGAGATTGAGTGCTTAGCAGCATGGTGCAAAGACAACAAGCTCTCCATCAACATCAGCAAAATGAAGGAGCTGATGATTGTCTTCAGGAAGTAGAGTGGAGGACACGCCCCTGTCTGCATCAATGGTGCTGAGGTGGAGATGGTCGAGACCATCAGGTTCCTGGGAGTGACGCTCACCAACAATCTGTCCTGGTCCACCCACGTCAGTACGACAGTCAAGAAAGCGCAACAACTTCCCTATGTCCTTAAGAGGCTATGGAAGTTCAGCATGTCCACCCGGACTCTTACCAATTTTTATAGATGCTCCATAGAAAGTATGCATCGCAGCGTGGTATGGCAACTGCTCTTCCCTAGACTGTAAGAAACTACAGAGAGTTGTGAACACAGCCGAGTCCATCATGCAAACCAGCCTTTTATCCAGTGACTCCACCTATACTTCCTGTTGCCTTGGGAAAGCAGCTAACATCATCAAAGGCCCCTTTACACCCTGGTTATACTTTCTTCCACCCTCTACTGCTGGGCAGAACATATAAAAGTTTGAAGACATGTATGAATAGTTTCAAGAACAGTTTCTTCCCTGCTGTTATCAGTGTTTTGAATGGACCTCTGCAATGTTAATGTTGATCTCTCTCTCTCCTTGCACCTTCTCTGCGGTTGTAACGCTGTATTCTGCTACCCTGATGCACTTTGTATGGTATGATCTGCCTGCAGAGTGTGCAATAAATTAATACTTATGATCTATTGATGTCTGCCGAAAGATCTGAACATCAGTTTTCAGTTTCAGGCTTCAGAAAGGAGGGATTATTGGGAATTTAAATATTGTGTTGTATTTAACTTGCAGCCGCTGTGAAGGAAACTGTTCCCTCAAGCTTCCTGTGCACCTGCCATCAGTTGATCTTGCTTTAACTGTTTAACTTCTACAACTGTGGAGCAGAAACAGCCTTGCAGCGACCCCAGTGGTCTTGTGGCGCTGTAATGAAGTTGTCTGGTCACTTAGATTTGAAGATCATGGCAGTGATCTTGCCCTTTTCCACCATTCTCCCTCTAGGGTTTGGCCATACGTGGAGAGGTCCTCACCCAGGCATCATAGTTCCGAGTATCCTCATGTTGACTCAGCATAGAAGTCTTGGAACCATAAGTCTTTGAGCAGAGAGAACAAGGTTGGGGGTGGTGGGAAGTGGGTTCTCATTCTAAGTTCAGCTCTCTCTGTTCCTTTATAATTTCGCCTAGTCTCCACAGCAGAACTTACATGGTCATAGATTCCCTACAGTCTGGAAACAGGCCCTTCCGCCCAACAAGTCCACACCAACTCTTGGAAAATCCCACCCAGACCCATCCCCTTATAACCCACCTCAGCTACACATCCCTGAACACTAAGGGCAATTTAGTATGGCCAATCTAACCAGCACATCTTTGGAAACCAGAGCACCTGGAGGAAGCCCACGCAGACACGGGAGAATGTGCAAACTCCACACAGACAGTCGCCCGTGGGTGGAATTGAACCCGGGTCCCTGACACTGTGAGGCAGCAGTGCTAACCACTGAGCCACCGTGCCACCTGTGGTCATCTTTTGGCAGTTTACTGACTTGATGGACGCAGCGCCGTCACGTGGAATGGTTTATGGCAAAAATCTCACAAGTACTAATGCCAATTTTCCCCCTTTTCAATGAGGCCTTCAAAGTCTCCTTAAAACCATTCGGCTGTTCTCATTGTGTTAACTCTCATGGTCGGTATGCCAGTATGCTCGTTACATTACTATTTATGTCATAGCATGTCACCTGATATAAAGGTCTCATGCTCCTTACCTTGGATCCCTTGTAGCATGACACTGTGCCGTTCCTCAGCTGTAACGTAGTGAGTTAATATTAGCCTGGACACTTGTGTGCCCGAGTAATGTAATGTTTGTACATAATGATTAGTTTTACTTAATGTCTGTTGGATCCTTCAACACGACAGTATCCATGCCCATTTCCTTATGGTATGGGAGGTAACATAAGCGTTACTTCCTCAGGTAAAACACCCTGCTGGAGGCAAAACTCCCAACACACTCACAACAATAGAAAATACAAATTAGGAGCAGACGTGGCCTAGTCAGTGACTAAGGAAATGGCCTTGCCCCTCCCTACATATCTAATCTTCTCCACATTTATAATCCAAGATATTTGTGCTCGATCATTCTGGCCACAGGTCACCCCCAGTGCTTTTTTTTCAATCATTCTGCCATGGATGGCTGTGCTTTCATTTGCCTTCGGCCCAAGATTTAGAATGCCCTCCTTGCACCTGGCCATCCCACCCACCTCAACTTCCTCCTTCTGAAGACAGTTTGTAAAAAACCTGCCTGCTTGGCTGAGCTATTGTCACCTGATCTAAAAGTGCATCATGTAGACTTGTTTAAAATTCATTTGTGGGACGTGGGTGTTGCTGGCTGGCCAGCATTTCTTGCCCATCCCTAGTTGCCCTTGAGAAAATGGTGCTGAGCTGTCTTCTTGAACTGCTGCAGCTCACAATGCCATTAGGGAGGGAATTCTGGGATTTTGATCCCGCGACGGTGAAGGAACAGCGATAAATTTCCAAGTCGGATTGGTTAGTGGCTTGGAGGGGAACTTGGAGGTAATGGTGTTCCTACGTATCTGCTGCCCTTGTCCTTCTAGATGGAAGTCATCTTGGGGTTGGAAGGTGCTGTATGAGGCTCTTTGGTGAATTTCTGCAGTGCATCCTGTAGATAGTACTGCTGCTACTGAGCGTCGGTGGTGGAGGGAATGGATGCTTGTGGGTGTAGTGCCAATAAAGCGGGCTGCTTTTTCCTGGATAGTGTCAAGCTTCTTGAGTGTTGTTGGGGCTGCACTCATCCAGGCAAGTGGGGAGTATTCCATCACACTCCTGACATGTGCCTTGTAGATGGTGGACAGGCTTTGGGGAGTCAGGAGGTGAGTCTCGTAATGATCCTGTGAAATACCTTGGGCCGTTTCATTACTTTAAAGGTGTGATTACAAATATAAGCTGTTGTTGTTTAGATCCTTTTTGTGTGTCTGTCTGTATCCCCCCCACCCCCCGATACGCTACTGCTCTAAAGAATGTTTCTTTTTGGATCTTGCTGTATTACATTGGGGGATTTCTCAGTATAGCTTGGTTGAGTTTCTGTCTGAACCACCAGCAAGATACTGTCAGCCAGCTTGGTTGATCAACTTGGTTAGTGACAAAATGAAGGAGGATTTGTCTGGATGTAACTTGAATGTGATTCTGAAAGAAGCAGTTCAATCGAAAGAGGCCTCTTAGTAATTACAGAATGGATTGTATAGAACTTTCAAGAACGGTGGTAAAATTGTGCGGGCAAATGTAAAATACCTCACACAGGAAGGAGAAGTAGGCGTTGTGTGTGCATCTTGTGAAAATGAGCTAGCTTATAAATGAAGCCGAAAGGGAGATTTAGACTTTGTGGGTTGGGTTGTGACAGAAATTCTAGTCACCTTTTAGAAGTGGTGGCTGGGGCAGGGATCTGGAGTCCTTGCCCCATTTCTGAGAGATCCCATTTTGGCTGCATTTGTTGGAGAGTGGAGGATGAAGCAGGGAGAGACTGGGGAGCGGGGAGTGAGATGTGGCTCCAACAGATGAACGCCCAAGCATAGCCGTTCTATTTGATCCTGTTTTTGTTGGAGCCTTATCCTTCAGTGTGGGAGTTATAAATCTACAGAGAGGTTGTAAATGCACCCGAAGGGCGGATAAGGTCTGTATAACCGTCAAACTTTTAAGTCAATAAATGCGAAGCTGGAAAAGCACAGCAGGTCAGACAACATCCGAGGAGCAGGAAAGTCAACGTTTTGGGCCGAAACCCTTCTTCAGGACTGGGGAGGGGGAGGGGAACCTAGAAATAAATAGAGGGAAGGGTTGGGGCTGGGGAGATGGGAGGTGATATGGAGATAAGTGGTATTTAAATGGCAGTCCTTTTGAGAAATGAAAATCAATGAGAGCCTTTTCAGTCAATTTCAGTAGCTGACCTAACCCTGATTGCTATCATGACATCATTATTAAAGTTTGGCTATTTTAACATAAGAAATAGGAGCATTGTCCTAATGACAGATGTTAGGCTAGTTGGCCTGTGACTTCCTGATTTCTGTCTCCCTCCTTTCTTAAACAGAGATGGTGCATTTTGAAAACCTCCCATCACAGTAGGAGGGTTGTTTTTCCACAATTTGATTGACAGTTTGTAGAGGAAATTAAAGGATATGTAGACATCACGGGCGAGCCCAATATTTGTTGCCGGTTCCTAATTGTGTTTAAATTAAGTGGCTGGCTAGACCACTGCAGAAGGCAGTTGAGAATCAACTATTGCTGTGGATCTGGAGTTACATGGAGAGAGAATCCCGCAATATTAGGAGTGGGTCAACTGCTGCCTCACAGCCCCAGGGACCACAGTTGGATTCCACCCTTGGGCGACTGTCTGTGTGAAGTTTGCATGTTCTCACTGTGTGTGGGTTTCCTCCGCATGCTCCGGTTTCCTCCCACAGTCCAAAGTTGTGCAGGTTAGGTGGATTGGCCATGGGAAGTACAGGGTTACAGAGATAGGGTTGGGGAAGGTGTTGGTGGTGGGTCTGGGTGGGATGCTCTTCAGAGGGTGGTGCAGAAGTGATGGGCCAAATGGCCCCTTTCCACACCAGGAATTCTGCCGTTTGCCAAAAAAAGGGACCAGCTATCTGCCTTATGGCTTGGACTTTGTCTCAACAGTTTTAATGAGGTCAGTTTTCCCGCTGTCGAATCTTTGTTTACAGGACATGAGAGAGTGAAAATGTGTTCCTTAATTAATTTGTGCCTGTGTCTGGGATTTGGCAGCCAGCTGTGCGTTTACTCTCTACTAGTGCTGGAGGCCAGAAGGCTCATATTAGTGGCTCACTTGGCTGTCAACACAGTCTTAACTGGACGTAAGAGAAAACCATTGACATAGATTATTTCTTTGATTGGAAGTGATGACGAGACTTCCTTGCCAGAAGATCTTGAAGCACAGTGCACAATAAATTACCTTTTTTTTAAAAGTGTAGTTACATACATTTTCCATGTCGTGCGGAATCTAGGAGTTAAATTAAGCAGAGATAGTAAGAACTGCCAATGCTGGAGTCAGAGATAACACAGTGTGGAGCTGGAGGAACACAGCAGGCCAGGCAGCATCAGAGGAGCAGGAAAGCTGACATTTCGGGTCAGGACCCTTCTTCAGAAATGGGCTTGGGAAATTATTTTCTTCAGAAATTAAGCAGTTGTTTTCTTCTACCATCCCTCACCGCTGCCTGGGATATTGGCATTGGTCATGCCTGTTGAATCCGGAATTGCACAACACTTTTTTTGAGTTTTTACATTGAAGCCCATTCTGCTCAACTGGTCCATGCTGATGTTTTTAATATTTCATGGTG